TCAAAGTCATCCCGATAATCTTCTGAACACCCGCTCTCGGTGAATCCCTCCATAAGATTAGCTGCCGAACCCACATGACTGGACAAAGGAAGATCGTTGATCTGGATACCCTGAGGTGTGATTGAGAACATGTTTGAGTCAAGCAGAGTTTGAATCTTGCTTCTCAGCACCTTACAGTCTTCGGTTGAATGCTCCTGCGCCCCAACATGGTACTCACAGCGGGCGTTGACATCAGAACCTGGCGGATGTATCTCGGGATCAATCCTCTTCGGCACTATCAATCCACCTCTGATTAAGTCTGGCAATATCTGACTGTACGACAACGACAAAGGGGTGAACTGCTTCTTTGGCTTCCTTGGTCTTCGTCGGGCGTGCTGACGCGGCTGATGACAGTATGACTGCTGACTCTGGCGGGGAACAGATATCTGATGCAAAGACCCAAAGGATCGCTGACTCTGAATAGTTGAGACATCGGGAGACTGAGTCTGAGGTATCGGGGACTGACTTCGTTCAGGAACTTTCATTCTTAGGCTTGGCCTAGGAACGGGCAATAGCTGCGGGCAGGGAGACTCTAGGGTCACAGATTGCAAGACAGGCTCCTGACCTGACGCAACTTCAGGGGAGAGAATAGGAACATCCACATCTTCTGGAATAAGACCATTGCTCGGCATGAACTCAAATGCTCTCGAATCGATTAAATCCTGAACCTTGTGCTTAAAGGCTTTGCAGTTCTCGATATTATGCCCCGGTGCCCCAGAATGGAAATCACAATGGGCATTTTCATCATAGCCTTGTGGTGGCTCGCCAGTCAACGGAGCCATAGTCCGGAGTTTAACCAATCGAAGTTGAAGCAAGAGTTGCAACAACTGAGCATAAGTCATAGGGATCTGGTTGAACATTCTGTCGGACTGCTTCGTCCTTTGAGCATACCTCATAATCCTAGGATTGTCTCGGGAGACAGGAAGTAATTGTTGGCGAGGAAATACTGGAACCTCAGGTTGTGTAAGATATCTTTGAGGCACTTCACGCCTTGGGAGAGGTTCCACATGTAAAGGTGGGATGGCCATCTCTGCTGCAGCTTCGGGCACATGATCGCCTTCCTTTCTCAACACATTCCTCATGACTTCTGTTATCAGGCCCATCTGAGTCTTCAACTGATGGACTTCTTCTCTAAGCACTTTCTGATCCTGAAACAAAACTTGCATGTCCGTCATGAATTGTCCCATTTGGCTTTGGATTCCCCTCAACTCTTCTCGAATTTGTTCCATAGTTGTCTCTGTTGATTTTCTTTTGGTGGAATGATCTTCAATTCTGGAACAAGCCGGATGGAAAACCACATGAAGCAATTACGTCCACAAAATTAGAACACCTCTATGCAAATGAATAATGATGCAATATGCAGGACATGCAAAGAAATGCAAATGAATGTGCAAATGCAACAGGGGATCAAACGTTGTTGTGTTGTTGACGGTGACGGACCAGCGCTTCGCCTTGAGACCAAACAACATTAGTACAAGGATCCTACTGTAACTGTTCATACGGACAAACGGGTAGGATGAAGGTCAAAGTTTTTCCTGCAAGGCAGCACAACGAGATACCTCTCACCTCGGGTGAGCAATCTATTGGTTTAAGAGGGTATTCCAAAGGCTTTTCAAACAAAGTCCCATGCACTAACCCTCAAAAGTTTCCCATCATAACGACTACTCGTAAGACGGTAATCCCTTCAAAAGGATGAACACAGAGTTATGTTTTAGCAACCTTCGGAATAAAGGTTCTACAAAAGGTCCTCAGAATCGCGGACTCTCAAGTTGAAAATAAGAACGCCCTTACGACTATACGTAAGACATAATTATTCCAATGGAGCCTCATCTGAGCGGTGAGATTCAATCCAACTCAACGAGTCCTAAGTCTCGCAAATCAGAAAGAATCCACCTCCTAACTTAGTGTGTATGCTCGAAAGCTCGGGTAGAAAGCTTTATCCTCACAAACCAAACCAAATGAACCCAACAAGTTAGAAAGAAACATAACCATAAAGTAAATAGCAAAACAAATAATGCACAAATGCGACAAACAAAATAGGCGCGGCTTGCTAGGTATTCCCCAGCAGAGTCGCCAGCTGTCGCTACTCGAAAAAATGCGTCGCGCAACGACGAGGAGGCGAAAAGGAAGGACAGAAGAGTCGCCACCGAACTTTATTTATCCCATGAGGGGAAAGGAAAATATCGAGAAAACCTTAAGAAACGAATGGATAAGATGGTCTCGCAACCAAGAACGGGTTCGGAAGCCGGTTATGCGAGGGGAAGGTATTAGCACCCCTCGCATCCATCGTACTCGATGGGAACCTTTTGTTTGTCGACATGTGAATTTATTTGCTAAAATATTATGCTATAAGGAGTGTTCCAATGGGTAAAGATAAGGGTTAGAAACAGGGAAAGAGAGGTAACGGGGGGAAGAAGAGAGAGAACGGACTCGGTAGGACTTCGCGGTCCTAGGCCTACGTATTCTCAATAGATGTGAGAAAGTCAGAGTCGACGTAGTTCGGGGAACTACAGATATGGGGGAAAGTGCTCGCCAAGGATTGTGGCCCTTGTGCCTACGTATCCTCATCTGGTATGAGAAATCAGAGCAGCCGTAGTTCGGCCTACGGTGTGTTGATGTTTTTTTTATGGATGATGCTATCGTGCGCATTCTAGCAGTTAGGTGTTTTGCTGCTCGCTCGTTGGAGACTTAGGCGTTACCTGTTTGCGGTAGAACGGACGTATCATATCCTTTTTGAAAGATTAGTTTTCGCCATGCGAGGCAAGGTGTCACGTTTGATTTATTGGATTGTTTTTTAGGGGGCGAGACAGGTCTTCGGATAGTAACCCCTACGGGTAGTACCCAATTCGTTATCTCAAAGTTTTTGTTATAAAAGGTGTGGCGAACGAGGCGTCTTTGTATTGAAAGACGAGCGTCGAAACCACCCTCACTACAGTGGGCATCCCTATGCTCGGAGAGGAAGAAAGACTACACTTAATCCTCTCTCTTTAATTCAATGCAAAGAGAACTTCGTTCTCTTATTAATGATGTTTTTGGTTTTGAATGGTAAGTGCTTTGCGACAGAGAACCCTACGGTAAACGTCAGCACTCGGGATAGGAGAAGGCCTACGCCTAACCACTCCACGACCATTCAAGTTTTTGTTATGAAAAGATTTGAAAATGCACTCGGTACAGGACCGAGGTTTTAGGTGTGAAAATTGTGGAAGGAAGTTGTGAAAGTGAGAGGTGGATAAAGGCGCGTCTTCGTATCGAAAGACGAGTGTCGAGACCACCCTCACTACAGTGGGCATCCCATCACTCGGAGAAGAAGAGGTCTACACCCAATCTTCTCTCTTTAATTCGATACTAAGAGAAATTAATCTATTATTGAAAGTAAACTCAGTACGAGACCGAGGTTTTATAAGGAAATGTTGGAAGCGTCTTCGTATTGACAGACGAGCATCGAGACCACCCTCACTACAGTGGGCATCCCAACGCTCGAAGAAGAAGAGGTCTACACCCAATCCTCTATTTTTAATTCAATACAAAGAATTTATTTGAAAATATTTTCGAAGTTACACTCGGTACGAGACCGAGGTTTTAGGAGGATAAGCGTTGGAAGCGAAATGGTCTCAGATCCAACGTTATTTATCAACAGTTTGACTTAATAACGATTTACGGAGGTCTCGTCATCGACCAAAAAAGCGACAAATGAAATAAAGTCGAAAAGTGACGTAAAGTTGAAAATGAGACAAAAAGTCCTATGACAAATGAGAAAATCAAATCCAACTTCTAAGAGAGAAAATGAATCAAAATTCTAAAAGAAAATGAAATAAAACCCGAATAGAGAATAATATAAACTTCTATATAAAATATTATAAAAACAATATACTTGTAGAATTCAAAAGAAATGAATACAATATAATAAATATTAACAAATCTGTTTTGAAAAATAATATATAAATTAAAACTAACCAAAAGTATAAAAAGAATAAATTAAGTTTACAAATTAATATTTACAAAAACCATTAACCGAAACAGAGGGGGTACAACTTGGAGTGTGGAAGAAAACCAACCTCTGTAAAAACGCAGGCAAAGAGCATTACGAAACAAATCAAAGTGAATCGCACCACATCTTCATTAGGAAGAGTATTTCATCTCCAGACGCCTCCGTTCATTCCAGGCCTAGGATTAAATGTTTCCTCCTTCTCTTTCTCGATCTCGGTTTCGAATTCTCCCTCCATTCTATTGGTTTGCTTTGTTCATGGTTTTAGCGATGGGGGGTTCTGATGAGTGGGTCTCGCGATGGTGTTGAAATCGGAGGGTTTGAAGCCGAGTTGAGTGGTTGAAACTTGAAGGAGGCGGACGGATTGAGGAGAAGGTAACCGCTTTGGTTTGGAATAATAGGTTTGAAGAAAATAAGAATCAACAGTGGAGATTAATGGAAGAAGGTACTGAACAGAGACGCAAAAAAGTCGCCCACCATATGTTCGATGAAAGTTCTATTATGGCTTTGAGGGTTTAATGGAGATTTCTGGGTGATTTATTTAGCTGAGGTGTTAAGAGGATGATGATGATGTCGGTAAGGATTTCGAAGAGGGTGGAAATGGCTTCGCCGGTGAGCTTCCGTTTGTGTCTGATGATGATGGAAGGAAGGTGAGGTGAGTGGATTTGCAGAGTGGGTTCGAAGGTGATTCGAAGAAAAACGGTGGAGGAAGTTTCTGGGCAGAGTGTTTGAAGGTTTGAAATTGATAGTCTGGGATTGTGGTTTTTGTGTTGATTTTCAGAACTTGGTAACTGGGTTTTTTGTGTTTTGAGTTTTTGAGAGTTAGAGATGGAGAGATTCAACAGTTGATGGTTTTGTTCTGGGCTTTGTGTTATTGGTTGAATCGTTGTGGGGAAAAAATTGGTAGCAGGTTTTGATCCAGAGGAGGAATGGAAGTGTGGTTCTTCATGTTTGTTTTTTTTTTTACCAATGAAGATTAAGTTCTGTTATATTGCTGGTTGGTTTGGTTTTCACTACAGGTTGCAGGTTTGTACAACCTAGTGTAGCAGGGGGCAGGCTGTATTGTCGCAGAGTTGTCTGGTGTGGGAGGAGTTAAAGCAGGGATAGCAGAATGGTTGGTCTGGTGTGAGTTTGTAGCAGGGTAGTGGTTGTAGCTGGCATTGTCTGTTGGTAGCAGAATGGCGCAGGATTTGGTCTGTAACCACTTAGATAACTTCTTGTATGAAGACTTCTTGATGTCTAAGGTCATTCCTGAAGGCCTACATGGCAATACATGGTTTGACCATAGAGTGCTTCCAGGAATGGGGAGGTCTTTATCCTTCAATGTTGTATGCAGTGCTTGCAAAAGGCACTTATCTAACAACAAATCTACATCTGAGGTTGATAGAGTATGTTGGTCATTTGGTTCATTAGGCGAGCCACTATCAGGTAATTTCAGATCACCCATGCCAGCAGTTATTTCTTCCGCCGTATTTTCATCACTGTTTGGTCTTGTTGATGTATGGCTCGAGTCGGCTGGTAACTCATTTACATTCAGAGACCCATCCGCTTCATCACTTTTCGTGATGTTTTGTTGGCCATTTGATGACTCACCAGAAGCCTCAGCCAAATCAGTGTCATGAGAAGGTGGTGATAATAAAGAAGGATGCCCGAACACAACATCTTCCAAAAAACCTTCATTAGGCACGTAACGGCCTTCAACTGATTCCCAAAGCAAATCGCGATAATAATGAGTTATTCTCAACGCTTTTCCACGTAACCCAGCTTTCAAAGCTTCGACGCTGCTCATCATTGTACTCCCAACCGCAATGGGTGCAGGATTTTCGGGTACTTTAACCGCCCATGTTTTTCCAGCCGCAAATGATGGAAGACCTTCAGGAGGCACAAGTATACCAGGGAACATCAAGTCAGCTCCACCTATAACATACCGAGAAACCTCGCCACCCTTGAGTATGAAAGCTGGCAGAAGCTCAGGGACCATCCATAGAGCATAAACTGTTGGGAAAATGTCCGAACCGCGACCATCGACGTCGAAAAACACAGGAAAACCTCCCTCCACAGCATACACATGAACTCGAGTTTGAAACTTGGCCACTGTTATCTCTACCTTAGGAGGAAGTAGAATGTCTAGGTCAGAATCAGAAGCTCTTGGGAATTTGTCTCTAATGGTTCGTTTTAGCTTCTTCCTGTCGGCACCGGATAATCTCTGCTGAGACTTGGCTTCCACCGCCTTCTTGAACATCTTCGATTCTCAACCCTTGTTCGTATTTTCCACTCAGAGATTAACTGTTATAGCAGAGATGGTAGATGAAAATGAAACGATGGTGGGAAAGTTATTATACCTATTTCTTTTGTTTCGGTTTATATAATATATACAGGAATATTGCCAATGCGTTCGTGTGTTTGGTCTCGAACTTTCTCGTTTCTTTCAACTAGAGCAGAGATAAGTGGATTGTCTAGACTAATAGCTGGAATTGACCGTAAGTATCCAAATCCATCCTTGTCTACCAATTCAATCTGTTTCGGTGTAAGTGTCCACTGATCAAGTTTTGAAGTGTGTTCGTGACATCTGAGGGCACCGCGCTCCTGCTGCCCTTCCCAAACTGCCGATGATACATGCTTGTCTTGATCATATAGAACTGAACCATCAATTGGACCTGGATTTGTTGTGTAAGGGTCCACTGCTCCCACTTCCATTACTGACAACAGAAAAATTGAATGGTTTATAGAGCAAATTTTAGGGATGGGTCCTTCTTGTAATCCAAACGAAGTAATTGACAATCAGAAATTTTGGCTGCCGTCTACTCATGCTTCACTGAGTTACAACATTCTGTTTTCCTTGTTCTGCCGCCGCGGTAGGAGCAGCACAGGCATTTATGATACTGGAAAATGTAAACTCATTTGGTTTAATCCCTTCTTTTATCAATTGGCAGAAGATTTTAGCAGCTTCTTCGGTTTCTCCTGTTTGTGCGTATCCTGCTAGCATTGCCGACCATGCCATTAAGTCCTTCACTTTAATTTTCTCGAAAAACTTTCACAGCATCATTAATATTTCCTATCTTAACATACGCATCTAAAAGTGCAGTCCCTACTGATGATGACTTTTCATAATTAGTTTTGATAACTACAACATGCATTTCAGAAACGAAAACAGCTTGCTGCACAGCAAGGATGGCAGAATACGTAAAATGATTTGGTTTGAATAATATAAATGGTGATGAAATTGTAGAATTTGTGAAGTTTCTGTTATAAAATGTAATGGACTTGAAACCAGTTTTACACCTCACTCATAAACAAAACTTGGAAATCGCCATAAGATCATGATAACCAAACTCAAAGTTCTTGACTTAAAATGATGAAAACTTGACATCCCGCGAGAACCAAACAAAATTATTGACTTGAAACAATTTCCACTTGAGTTAACCTTGAGAAGTAGAATTGACCTTGAATTATCCTAAATTGGGAACGGATTAGAGCCTTGAATTAATAAATCAGTCTGGATTTGACCATTTGAATATCAACAAACCAAAGTCTCTAATATAAAAACTCCCTGAGCCAAAACATGTCTTAAAATCAGAGAACCATGATTAAACTTTAATTGAAGAATAAACTTGATCCTGTTGATCATCGACAACAAAACACTTGATTAACCACAGTCCTGACAACTGACCCACATACAGATGATTTGGGGTACAGAAACCCTGATTGAAAACTCATGAAACAATCTCTTGACTGACTAACCAAAAAAAAGCCACTGAATAATACTCATCACTTGCCCGAGTCACCTTACACAACCCTGAACCACAAGCAAAGATAGCCTCCTCCTTTTTCCTAGATATAGTTAGTGAATGGATGCACAGGTGAAGGTATATACTGGTAGGACAAATTTGGGGTATGCTTATGCAATGCAATGCTTACGTATGTGTTGATGCTATGAAATAAAACATAAGCCAGAGAGGTCGGTCAAATTTTGGGGTACAACAATAATATATATCCATTTTTTCAATGTTTCTGTTAAATATTTTAAACTATTGTTTTCCTTATGTCTTATTGCAACTTCTATAATTTTTCAATTATTTACTACAATTTCTATAATTTTTCAATTATTTACAATTACGTTTTATGTGTAACCAATTACCATTTATTCTAAATTAAGTTTATATCATTATTGTTAATCTTATATTTAAATTTAGTTTTTTTTTTAATTTACATAATATATATATATATATATATATATATATATATATATATATATATATATATATATATATATATATATATATATATATATATATATATATATATATATATATATATATATATATATAATTTCAAAAAAAAATTACCCGTGCAGAAGCACGGGTATCGCACTAGTAGTTCTATAAAAATTAAAGGTGTTAGATGCATTAAAGAACAAATATTTCTCTCTCACACAAACATATTCATTCATTTTTTAACTTTTAAGTAAGTCGAGAATGGATTCCCTCCGGTGGTGTGAATTTCATCGAGAATGGAGTATGTGTTTTCTTAAATGAAATTTTTCAATGGACAACACGTTTTATAAAAAATAATCTTGTTTTTAAAAGCGCTTTTTATAGATAAAAAACATTTCCTTTTAATTTAATTTAAATATTAGAACAGTGTAATTTTCTTATGTGTCTTTAACAGCGTATTTGTTATAAGTGTTTTAAAAAGCACTTTAGAAAGTTAAATTTAAAGTATTTAAAAAGATGGTGTATGATAAGACTATCGTCCATCTCGCCCATGCTTAGAGATGTCACTTACATGGAAAATATAAGATAGGAGACTCATATTTAAACAAAAAAAATTAGATTCTAATTAGTGTTACATCAACTATAAATAAACAACATATTAAATATACAAAAAAATGTGAATCATATTTTTTTCCACGTTTTATTTGGATATGTAATATATATTATAGTTATAAACGATGTTTCTTCTAATTTGGAGATAATTTCTATAATTATACGTATTATTTAAATTTAAAATTTGTTTATGTGTCTTCACTACAAATTTTTTTTCCCGTTAAAACTCCTTCTTGTTTTCATATATTGAGTACATATGTATGTTTCCCTCATATAGTAACTTTTTCAATTAGTTTTATCATTACTTTACATAATTCCATATTCTAAAATCTAAAGTATGCACCATTATTCCACTCCATATGCACTTTGTGGCCTACTAAGCCATTACATGAAGATTTGGGACGTGGCTTGGATGATAATAATAAGGAGTTTGACGACTTACTTGAAAACAATGCTACTAGAATACTTAGAGAAGATGAGTTGAATGTGTTGGGTCACATGGAGAAGAGTAATCTGATGTAACAATAACCAAACTAATAATATTGTTGTTTTGGATACTCCTGTGAGAATAGGAAATTACATTGACATTAGATATACACCGGTAAGAAAATATCTATGAGAGCGGGTTTTTATTTCACTCATTGTAAAAGTTAGTTTTTTTTTGGGTTTTGGTATAGTCGCCCATGTACATATTTTTCATTTTCTATTTATTTATATATGAGTTGTGGATATAAGGGATAAAGGTAACTAGAGGTTTCAAAATGATTGAGATGTTTAATTTTCCTCTTGGTACTTGGATGTTTGTTGACCTCTTAGCAAGTGTACTGATAACATCAAAATAATACTTAAAAGATTATCTTCGTGAAGATTGCAATTTAACAAGGTGTACGATTGTGCGAATTAAAAGTAACAATGAAGGGTTTTTGAGTTTGAAAGCGAAAAGGAAAATATAAAGACTATCTGATTGCGAAAGTCGATTAGGTTTTATCTTGAATCCCTTGTATGCCTTTATTGATGCTAGGGTCTATCTACCCTTATGATGATTAATTTGATTACTACGACAGTCTAACCTCTTAGGCAAAATCAATAGTTAAATTATGTGATGTTCGTTTGTTAAACTCTAAGTCATAATCTTACAATTTCCTATCTCTGTCTCAATTATTAGGTTAAACAATTAAATTAGATATGATTCACACAGTTAGGGTTATTACTTAGCATTAATCTAAATCGATACATGGACATTCGTAAATGCATGTAAAGCATTAAATACGAATATTAACTTAATAGAAAACTAAATAATCAAAAGCATAAATGATTTGGTGTGATCAGAATGGATCGTCTTAGTCTTCAATGTAGGGCAACAACAGTGGTTGTAGGAGAGGAGGGGTGTGTGTCTGCAAGGTACTCCAATGCCAAAGTGAGTGTTTGGGCTAGAGAGAAAGCAAGTACGAGTGTTTAGGTATGAGTAAGAATGATTAAAATACCTGACCCTCCCAAGAGAGAGGGTATTTATGAGTTTCCCCCAGCGCGGGGCCAATGTCTCCCATGTGACTGAAATATCTTATCGGCCAATGGGAGAATGCCAGGTGGAAGATCTAGCGCGTGATCTTTGACCTGGTCCAACTGTCCTCGAGACTTTCGGAGGGGCAGTTGGTCGCTTGAACTGTCAAGCGTGTGAGGGGGATGTCCCCAACAACTATATGCTCCAACGACTATATTGTGCCCAACGGTCATATTGTGCCCAACGACAATATTGTCCTAATCTCCTTATTAGGCATGACCCTAAGCTAAAGTGGACTGGGCCTTGCCCATTTGCGGGGCATGTGTCAGTCCAGTCCAAAACAGGATCCCCCTAAGTCGTTGCTTCGAGGTGAGGAGTAATGACTTGAGTGAACCTAGTTGTTTGACCAAGGGGCAAGAACTGTATCGCGGGGAGGTCTTTGAGGTCGCCATTATTTGAGCTAAAAAAACTCCGAGGACACGCATGTATGTAGCACATGATCAGTAAGGTTGACTGTTAATGGTGTGTGGCCTCCTTGGAGCTGCAAGGACGTGGTCAGATATGAAAAGTGCGTTTTACATCGACCAGGATTGTTCTTAAGATGAAGAAATGTCAACGAGACTGCTCAGATGCTGATCTGGTGATGTTGTCGAGGAAACTGTGCCCGCGGGGAGCTAAAAGGACTTGTCTTTTTACAAGCATGTGAAGGGTTAGCTTTGAGAATGTCAACTGACAGCTTCTCTCGCCACGTGTCAAGGTGCAATAAATTTTGTTAAGGCCTAAGAGGCTAGGAGGCTAGGAAATGATGTCACTTTGCCCTTTACGTTTCCCTATGCGAGAAAGAGGGCATGTACAAAGAGGGGGAAAAGGGTTCATTTTCACTTCACGAAAATTTCTCTCCTCCTTATCTTTTGCTCTGCAACAACTTTCGTCGTCGGAGATCCTTTCAACCTCTGAATACAAGTAAGTTCTTCATCTTCATCTTCAACCTCTGAATACAAGTAAGTTCTTCAACTTCCCCCAAGATCTTCATCTTCAACCTCTGAATACAAGTAAGTTCTTCAACCTTCTTGTGAAAATGCATGAATTTCTGGAAATTTATCTTGAGTTCACCGGTGGTGCATGAATTTTCCGGTTGAAGTTCATGTGTTTCTAGATGAACATGTGAATTTTTTGGGAAATTCATGAAGTCCTTGAAGAATACAAATCTAGGATGTTGTATGTCTGTATATCTTCCTAGGTTATTGTGTGATAATGTTCCATGTTTATTGTCGGACAAGGGTGTCATCGACGCTAAGGGTTTTTCCTTTAGGTGCCCGACACATCATAGTAGTCACAGAGCTTATCCCCCTTTAAGGTCTTTACGCATT